GTGTCACGTCATCATGAATTTAACACGAGAAAATTTTCGTGCAATGATTTTTTATGACTTTCGATGTCATTTAAGTCAACAAGAAAGTTATGATAGACTACGATTGGCCTTTCACGATGAAGCCCCATCTCGTGCGACTGTTTACAACTGGTTTAATGAGTTTAAACGTGGTCGCACTAATCTCACTGATGATTTACGTGAGGGACGGCCTTCTACGGCGACGACTGAAGATAACATCTGTGTTGTGCGGCGTATGATAGAGACTGACAAAAGAGTGACCTATCAACAGATTCGGACAAGCTTAGGCATCGGTATGAGTCAAGTGCACAAAATCCTCCACGAACATTTAGCGGTCAGGAAGCTTTGCGCTCGGTGGATACCTCATAATTTGACTGAGGCTCAAAAACTCCATCGTGTGGATTGGTGTCGTAAAATGATTGAAAGATTTAACGGAGGTGACTCAAATGCTGTGTTCGACATACTAACAGGTGACGAAAGCTGGATTTACTGTTATGATCCTAAAACCAAAAGACAATCTGCTCAGTGGGTGTTTCCTTTCGAGGAGTTGCCAACTAAAGTGAAGAGAGATCGAAGTGCGGGAAAAAAAATGGTGGCCTCGTTCTTTGGAAGGATAGGTCATTTTGCAACAATTGTGTTAGAGGATCAAAAAACAGTTTCTGCAGAATGGTACACTACCAATTGTTTGCCACTTGTCTTGGAAAAAGTTCGAGAGAAACGACCTCGCAGTAGGATCCTCCTTCACCACGACAACGCCTCGTCGCACACCGCCAAGCGAACGATCGACTATTTGGCGACATCAAACGTTGAATTACTGGGTCACCCGCCGTATAGCCCCGACCTCGCGCCTTGTGATTTTTATTTATTTCCAAAAATTAAAGAAAAACTCAAAGGAAAGCGGTTTATGAATGCTGAAGAAGCGGTGGCTGCGTATCGCGATGCCATTGAAGAGACCCCTAAGGACGAGTGGGCAAAGTGCTTTTCCCAGTGGTTCCATCGCATGCAGCGGTGTATTGACGTGAATGGACAATATTTTGAAAATATATAATAAAACTAATAACTGGCTAATGTAATCAGTTTTTGATTTTCTAAGAACTTTCAGTTTGACCCTCGTACAATAAAGGAAATTGTATTGTATTTTATTTGCATCGGTTTGATAATAGTAATGGAAGTGAAAAAGATTACTGTTAGTGGTTTTAACTTTTTTTTATGCAAAATTTTTTTTTTAATTTTATTAAAGTGCCTTAAATAACAGCACTTTTACGAAGTAAAATAACAGTCAAAAACTCTTATTTGCATAAATCATTATATTTATTGAAAAATGTTTTCAACTTGGAAATTATTTCTTGCGCGCCTTTAAATTTAGATTTTCCCTCTACATTACATTATTAATCAGATGTTTATTCGGCTAGATTCAGACTGTGGTCTAAATTTAAACGGATAGTGCTCATATGGAATTAGATGTTCAATGTTCGATATAGCCTACCGTAAACCGAGGATAAGCCGCTATTTCAAGTCTTTACAGAATCTATTGTAGAATAGTTTGCAACTGATGATAATTTTAAGAAGGTAAATAAATCTTTTAATCATTGCTGACTATACATTGGTTATTATATAATTAATCATCGGATTAAAAACGATTTTAAGATGTTAAAATTAAATGCAAATCTTGTATAGTTATTTTCAGTTTCGTAATTTACAATATTTATTCAATAAAAGTATTTTTTTATAAATCAGTATTGCGCACCATCTGTTGGCGGGTAGAGTATTTTCATAAAGCTCTGTCCACCGCCTTGATTTCAAACTGTAGTAAAAAATCTTCCGTATCGCTAATACTATTATTTTATTATTTTCGAAGCTGTCATAAGTATAAGTCACAAGTTGTATGTATTATGTATGTATTTTTAAGTTTCTAAATTTCTTTGTTTGTATGGTGTAAACTTCGGAAATACTGATCCGATCATGAACTTTTTTCACCTACGGAAAAATACATCATACGCGGGTATAATAGGCTGTAATATAATAATGTGTATATTTATTTGTACAAGTAAATCAGTTGTGATGCAGTTAAGGCTACAGATTTTATTTACACACAAAATAACAATTGCTCTTTTAAACTTTTTTGAAATTTATTACTAATTTAAAGCACTATAAATCTGAAAAGCTCCAGCGATGCGTTATATGTTTTAATGTCATATATTTATTTTATAAAAGATCTTCCAAATCTTATTAGGTACCTAATAATAAATAAAAACCGACAAGGAGTACTTGAATAAAAAATTTGCATTGGAAGTCACAGCCAAAGTGCTTTAATTTCCGTCTACCGTCCTTGTGACGGTTCGAGTGTCACCCAGAGCCGTCCTTCACTAAAAAACAATATAATACAGAATACAGTTAGTTGCTGCCTGCGTTAGATACAAAGAAGGCATTTTCTTTTGTGTCGTTCACAAAAGGTGGCTCAAGGACAGGCCGCCCTTTTATCGAAGGCTGGATGTTTGTATAGCCTCTGATATTGCAGATTAGCCCTCGCCCCACATTTCACCCGCTTACCTGAAGTGCTTCTAACGATTGCGCACTAATAGTAGCCAAACTAACGGGCTTTTGAACACGCTATCACTGCGTCTACTCTCCACTAGATGGCGCTTTTTCTATTAATGCGCATGTACTTTTTGTGTCTGAATAAGAAATAAGATAATGTGAGACATTAGCAATGGATGGATATTTTATGCGAAACATTCATTGTGTTTAAACGTCTCCGTTCTGAGTGACACATCAGTGTCAGCAATAAGAAGGTTATTTATTACATTATCTTTTTAATTTAATCTAAAAGTGTCTCCGAATTTTATTTTGCCTTCAAAAATTCGTATTACATCAAAAACCTACATTATAATATGGGTAATATTACCGAACAATTTAATTGCATACCAAATATGTAGAGCTCACTTATAAGTTCTCTGTATTCTATGAAAACATATACATCTTACAACGAATAAGTATGACGTGACGTGACAATTTTGTCAATTTTAACAAAGTTATAATCATTTTAACTTATTTTTTAACATATTTGAACTTATTTTTAAAGTTGATGAAACTTACTTTCAATTAAATTAGGAGTAAATTCATTTCTTCAATCAGTCTATCTGTGTATAAAAAACTTATCTATGAAACATTTTGAGCTAGAACTTCCCTTAAACTGATTGATTTCATATTAGAAAAAAAATGGAACCTGATTCAAATGAGAGACAGAGCCAATCCTGCGGTGACATTTTACACAATGTGTAAAATATGGGACGTTTAGCAACAATGTGATATTTATTTTATACATATAAAAAAAAATTGTAATTTAGTTACAAATTATTTTCGGCCCACGAAAAATGTGTACTTAAATATTTACCCTTTATCAAAGCTAATAACAACTACCAACAAAGCCAAGGTTTGTAGGTGTCTTAGGTACGTTCATAATTATTAATAATATTTATTAAATCAATCGTGTTCCGTTTAAGAAAATCTCCTTTAAAATTACTTAACTTAACATTTATTAATGCTATTTCATTCCCTAGAGAACCAACCCAGAGAAACAGGTGAAAAGGAAGCTCAGTCATATTTCTGGCGGCCTTCGCATTAGACTCTAAGCCTGCCCCGCGGAGACCATTTGGATTTCCATACTTATGATTAGCGGTAGGTTCGGTACATTATGTCATCAGCCCTTTAATTTGAGGGTTTAAATACCCTCAAATTAAAGTGCTGATGCAGACTGCAAATGCAGCCGGGATCGATTTAGCGTGTCATCCGAAGCACGGAGTAGCTCGAGATAATAATTTTTCGGCACCCATCCCGTAACCGTCTACGAAAGTTGCTTAAAAACAACGATCGCGGGCGGCAGCTCTTTTCCATTACGCCACCAGCTACTACAAGTACATTATGTATCTACTGCAAAAGCATTAAAAGGTTACTTATTTACTAGATAACTAAATTTACTTAGTAGGTGCATGTGTGTGTGTGTGTGTGTGTGTGTGTGTTTGTGTTTTGTGTGCTACGAGTCAGGCTACAACGTTTTCCGTTTCTTGGTAATCAAGTCCCTTTAATATGTACACATTTTAGCGGTAAAGTTGACACGAAATGTGAATCTTCATCTTCATGTCGGAAATTTCAATAGCAAATAAACTTATTTACTCTATTGAAATATTATATATATAATATATATATCGCCCACATATACCCAAGTTCGTCTTTTGAATTTCTCTGTAAGTCAACGAAGCATATAATAGGTAATTTATTTTAGTAATCTACGTAGAAAAGTTCATATGATGTCCTTAGTGTATTCCGAAACCACTAGGCAACCAAGGTTGAAAATTGAATATAAATCCTCTGGGTTGGTAACTCCGATTACTCTCTCTAAGTCAACGAAGTATAAATCATTTATATTTAATGAGTATTATAAGTAGAAAAGTTCATGTTTATTATACAGAAATCTACAGGCAACCACATTTGAGCATTGTTAGTACATTATTCGTGAATTCTAACATAATCTACTTAATTTTCTATAAAACGTCTTCTTATTAATAACACGTACCAGGTTTATGGCTGACATTTAAGGTCCGAAACTTTCACGGAGATACCCTGTGCTCATACTGTTTTTTTTTTTTAGTAGACGATATGTAGTAAATAGAATTGATTGATCCATAATAACTTGAGCTTCTGTACTTTTCTGCTTGGTTGCCGTGTGGGGTCAAATCTTATGGCGTGCGGGGGGTGAGGAGAGGTCGCGCCGCAGACACGGCCGCGGCCATGCCAGTGCTCGCCCGGCCTCTTATCCGCGCGCATGTCCATTACGACAAAAACCCTTCCTATCAATTTCCACACAAAACGCGGCCCCGTTACATAATAATCCCTATGGGCACCTCAAAATCTTATAGTGTTAAGGCTTCTTTCTGTGATCAATAAAGTTTTTTGCACGTTTTACACGCTTAGATAAGTTAGCGTTACGTAAGCCGCCGTCCACGAAGCTTCGCTTGCCACCGCTTGATGTGATATTCGGTTGTGATATTGTAGGCTAGCTTTTTGCTCGTAGTTGTTAAAGTGTTTTTAAAGTAAGTAACGGTGCTGGTTTTGTCGCCGCCTGTGGAAATTGGTCTCCCTGTCCACTTGTTGATTATCCCTTGGGTATAATAACGGGCGAGCACTCGGTCCGCGCTGGTCGCGTGTTGCACTAAACTTGTTGATCGTGCTGTGAAGATGCGCGTATAGCGCGTTCGATAGTGGCTCGTCACGGCTTCGCGCGGCTGGTGGCTGCTCGGCACGCCATTTGGCGGCTCAGGCGGTCGGGATCGCAGCCGGCGCAAGACTCCAATGATCACGAACAGACCAACCATCTGTATGTCTATCTCTTTCTTCTATCACTGTCTGTCTTGCAAGCTTCCTTAATGGCCTCCATTTGTCAATCATGCATTCACTGGGCTTTGCACTCATAAACTCGCAAGCAAAACGATTAAATTTACACAAAACTTTTATTGATGTTCAAATTATCAACGTTACGATATGATTACTTTAACCCTCACATCATTGGGTTTGATCCCAAAGGGTTAATTTTGTAATCAACATAACCTTATTGCAACTTTTTTTTTGTTTATTTGTTTTGATTTAATAATTACAATTGATTACACAAAATTCATCAACATAAACACAAATAAATGCACGACTACCCAAACTTCAACAAAACGGGGAAATGTGCTGCACGAAGTAACCAAAAACGAAATCGGAATACGAAAAAGAAAGTCTCAAATAGTCTGCCTCGTGATGCACAAAAGGGAAGCCTCGCTCAACCGGCTTGACTAATAACAGTCGAGTCTGTGCAAAGTCCAGTCAAATCTATTAAGGGAGCTCTTTCATACTAAGTTTGTTTTACGCTGGCTGCTTTTTCTTTTTACATTTCCTTTTCCGTCATTTAACTGTTTGTGGTTCGCCGCTTGTCATAATAAATGTTGTTAATACCCACTAATGTTGTTTCATTTTGCGCTTTGGGAGTTTACCTGATGTATGGGGATGCTTTGGTGTCGTAGTGGTGTAGACTTGCAATCAATGTGTAGATGTCGATCATTGAACATTTATATATCATACGATGCAATAATAATTCAAATAATCATATTGTTTTGTTCTATTGACATATTAGGATACTCGAAAGTATACTATAATTTTTTAACTGGGGTTTTAGGCTAACATCTTTGTGGAGCTGCCAATGTCGTGGTCCAAATTTAATACAAAATTAAAACGACATCTATGCGAAGAAAAGCTTTAATCATGGATGTTTATAATATGTATTCGATCGCTTACAACGATTAATTTACATATTTACAAAAAAAAAATATCTATACTAATATTATAAAGCTGAAGAGTTTGTTTGTTTGTTTGAACGCGCTAATCTCAAGAACTACTGGTTCAAATAGAAAAAATCTTTTTGTGTTGAATAGACCATTTATCGAGGAAGGCTTTAGGCTATATAACATTACGCTGCAACTATTAGGAGCGAAGAAATAATGGAAATCGCGGACGAAGTTGCTGGCGGCCACTAGTAATAGATATTACATTAGAACAAGTCTTTAATTATTCACGCGGAAAGAAACCAGATTTATTTCGCAATACTTTTTGCAAAAATACAGTATATCTACAATTTTTTTATTCATGAATTAAAACAAACACTTTTAAACTAAGAAAATACCTATTAACATTTTAAAATGTAGGCTCCGTCTAGGCAATCTAAACGCGAGCTATATAAAGGCTATATCATTAATCAGAAATCGCTAAACGTGGGCGCGTTGTAGCACGTAGCGCGTAGGCTGTGCTCATAACGACGCCTACGACGCTACGAACATAATGCTCCATGCTGAATCAGAACTTCGGATATAAAAATCAATTTACACTGAAAATGTTGTGAATTCTACATAAATATTTTTAATTTCTTTGATATGTAATCAGTATATTATTAATCTACACGAATACATATATGAATCACTACTGGTAAAGAGATTTATTTCTTAAGTAATTTTATTAACTGCGATTGAAGGTATCTTCATAATATAATGAAGTCGTTGTTTTAATTTGACTCATCTGTATGAAATCAAACAAAGATCACATATAACACTTATAATTCATGGTTTAATATTCACAAAGAACAAATTATAACTGAATAAATTGTTTTTTTATTTTTTTTAAAAAAAGGACAACATGTATTGTCTATCAAGTATCATAGAAAAATCATATTTTTGATAGAGCCCCGTGTAATTAACTTCATAAAGACTAATATCTATTATTATAATAATATGAGCATATAAGACTTGACAAATGGATGGTGCCATTTGGAATTAATTACATATATTTAAAGAGTTCTATGGACACTATATAGAATTGTAGGCAAGCATTGCCATGCTGAAAAATTGCACATTTATTTATTTTTTAGTTAATTATTTATTTAATTTATTTACACGTTTATTTACAATGTTTATAATTGACTAGCTGTTTTCCGCGACCTCGCCCGCGGCAATTATAGCCTAAGTCACTTACGTGGGATATAAATTTCCATAGGTGGAGAAATTTTAAAATAGGTTCAATAGTTTTGAAGCCCCTTTCAATGCATAAATTTTTTTTTTTCTCTTTATAATATTTATATATTGAAATTATCTTTGAAAATGGTTGTTTTTTTTTTTATTTGATTTATATTTTAGGTAAACTGTTTAACTGTGTATTCTTTTTATATGCCGAAAAAATAATTTTTGCTTTTTTCACACATGACAATATCGAAAACATTGCAGATGAGTCTGCTGCAAATTGAATTGAGAACAATTTACATAATATCTACTATAAATAGAAATATTTCATTTTATTTGATTATTTTTACTGTTGAATAGCTCGGTGGCGTAGTAGGTAAACACCGCAGCGATCGTTATTATTAAGCAGTTTTCGCGAGGGTCTGTCATGGGGTGGATGACCCAAAAATATTATCTCGAGCTACTCCGTGCTTCGGTAGGCATGTAAAATCGTTGGTTCCAGCAGTGTTTGCAATTTACATAACCCGCCAGGGCCACCTCTATTGGGCCAGCGTCGGTTTTGGCCCATCCTCGTTAACCGTTCATAAGGAAGGCCTGAGCCCGTGCAATGGGGACGTAAAAGGGTTGATAATGATGACCTAAGCGCGCATTCATATCACCATCAGGTTTTTGTCGGAACCGAAAACGAAACGAACGTGTGTGTGTGTCACTGTACACTAAGAATGAAAAACGCGCGAATACGAATGTGTGCGGTTAAGCTTAATAATAAAATTCAAATAAGTCTGTCATACGGTATGATTAAAGCTGCGTCAAGCGTCAAGGCTACCGGATACTAGGAATATGAATGCAATGGTGTATTTAAATGAGTAGGTATTTTTTTAAAGTGACCTTACAGAAACATTTTTTCATGTTCTTCGTCGGCTTCAATCAGAATTTGATTTACGATGCCGTAATCCTAATGTGAAATATTTAAGTAATCTCTTCTCTCTCTCTCTCTCTCTTAATCTGTTTCTATCTGATCCCCAGATGGATAATGTAATCAAATGTGGGTGTAATCAAGTTTTTTCGTCCGGTACAAAAAGTAATGGACATGCTGTACCTAAGTCAAGATAAATAAAGTATAATATTCTCTATATATACTGGCTTTCGCCAGCGGCTTCGCTCGCGTGGTCCATAAGGAAATGTTAAATGGGATAAAAAGTCCTATTATCTAATTCAGCTAATACTCTATCTGTATACTAAAATTCATCAATCTCCGTTCAGTAGTAATAATTTTATGAGGCTTCGCGAACCACTTGGGATGCTATCAGAGAGCACCACTGATCTGCGGACCACCTGATCTAAACAAATATAATGATCAATTTGTGCTACAATATATTAAATTATGCGAAACTGTTGTGTTATAAAAATCTGAAACAATGAGAGCTACGGTATTTTTGCTCACCAGATGGCGCAGCAGTCGCGAGAGGTCCTGACAAAGTATGTTCACTACGAGATTGAACTTAAATCATACACATAATACATAAATAAAAAATTTCATTAAAAATATCGAATATGCTGAATAAACACGAACTAACCTCTGATTTAGCTCTTCTTTCCTTGCGCTTAATTTTGCATTACTTTTCTTAGGCTTTAAATCACTGACATTCATTGACCGGTAATTCATAATTGCTTTTATAAATCTCAGGTAAACCAAAATAAGCGTCAAAATTCGTTTATATGAAAATACAATATATGATATTAGACATTTTGAAGACCTCACGCTACACTAGCGCCTCTAGTGGCAAATTCAAACGCGTTAGCCCTCATTAGTATGTGGTTGTGCCTTCCACCATTTAAATTCAAGCCGGAAACAGTATAGAAAAGTTAATTTTACTATATCCAACTGGTTGAAAATCGAACTTAGCTTTCGCAGGTATGACACAAATTTATATTTTCGGGATTATTTAAAAAGTAGAATTTTCTATATAATTAACTCCCACATTTATAAGTTATAATTGATAAAATTTTCATGAAGTGTCTTTATGTTTTTCAGTTTCTATGTAAAATATAAAGGACATTGCTGAACGTCCATACATTGGTGGCCCCAGAGCCAAAAAAATATAGGAAAATACTTATTTTATTGTGTATCACTAACTAATTCTCATTGTGTATTTATTATACCGCGACCGAGTTTTAGATCTTATTATCACGCAAAATATAATTCATTTTGAGGTTATAATTCGTTTGGAAAACCACCAAGAGATGGCACTCTAAGTACATGATATGATATTGATGTCTATATTGTCGAAGCAAAAAAACTCAACTTTAAGAAAGTCGGTTTTTCGTTGTGATTTGTAAAAGATTCTAAGTCAATCAATAGACAAATAAATCATTCTAATAGTTAAATAATATACCTATTGATAAGCTTAAAATTAAAAAACCTATAGCTTTTTGATGGTTTACATCAAAAGATGGCGCCTTAAATACATAAATGACATGATGTTAATATGTTTACGAGAAATATAAAGGTAATGTAATAGAAACATACTTTGTTTGTGAATTATCATCAGTTAATGATTTTAGTTTGTATAATATTCAGTTTTTATGTCCTATGTTTTAGTTGGATAATCACCAAGAGATGGCGCTTTTAGTAAATTTAAGTTTATTTTCGGTCAATTTAATTTAATGTTTTTGTGTTCGATGATTTAAAGGTTATCTAATAAAAATAAATGATCTTCTTGATCTGACGTGTAAATTACATCCATCTGATCTGACTCAATACTCGTAGAATTTAAGTATGTTGAATGTGAATATTTGCGAATAAAAATGTTAGTGTTAAAGTACTTTTA